ATTTCATAGTTTAAATAGTAAATTAAATGTTTTACATCAGCTGCTGTATAGCTCAGACCTTATCACTTTTAACTTCCATCTATTTCGCTTAACACAGTATGCTCTCCTTGCATTACAACCCACTTTAATCTAAGCTACCAAAAATTGACGTAGTAAGGCGCATTTAATTTTTTTTCATAGACTTATAGACTTATAAGTTGCCAGCAAGATAGAAAAATGTCGTGAGCAGAATATCAGAGAACAACCCAGGTTTTTAGTTATACATCCAATATATAATAAATTAGTGTCTGATAAATTAAGTGTTTCTGATAATATGCACACTGGTAACACTGGTAACATTTAAAGATGTTCTATTCTTATCTGCTGCATGTAGCGTGCAGTGGAACTTTTTAAAAAGGTGGCGACCACGGCAGTGGCAGCTGTGAAAACTGAGAATGTTGCCAACACATTGTAAACACATTAATTAATTATTAATTAATTAAGAATATCGAATGTAGAGTATAGAAAATTAATACAAAAATATTCATTTTGAATGGAGTGGCTTTTCGTAAGATAATATTGCGGCGGTAGCAAACTGCTGCGTTGCTTCCTCTATTGTTGGCGGTTTTTAATTGTAATGCCGACCTGAACTGGATTGCTTTAGCTGGGTTTGACTTGGCTTGGTGTTTGGTATTTGGAGTTTGGAGTTTGGGTTTGGCTTTAGAGGTTTGATTGTGAACAATACACATTTCATGTGTACATTTTTTATCTGTCGTTTTGGTTTTTTTTTTCAGTTCATCTTTGCGGTGCTTTTATTTTTTTTCTTGTTAATATAACAGAATTCTACTATTTTCGTTGCATATCATTATGTCTTTTATAGTGCCAGACCAGACATTTGAACATTTGAACATTTGACTTGTTCTCATGTATTCCTATCATACACATTATTCAGGGCATATTAAACGCGTATCAAGTGACGTTGTTCTTATCAGAGCGTAGCTACACGTTTGGGGCAGTAGGACAGAACCGGCCGGTTCTGTCTGCCAGTCTTTCAATATTTAATATTTTTTTCTTTTGCCCAGTGTGTGTGGAAATAAGAAATTGATTAATGATATGTGATAACCTGAAGTAAAATATTTGTAGTGTTGCTGGTTGTATCGAAACTAAATTAATAGAAAATTTTTTTTTTTTCATTTTATCTACTTCAATGTGATTTTCAAGCAACAATAAAGATTTCTCTAACATATAGGTTTTGAGTAGTAGCAAAAATTTGTTTTTAATCAAATCTTTTTAAAAAAAACTTGGGCGTACAGTGTTTTTTTTAAGTATAAGTATATTTGTTGTTACTAATTTGTTTATAAAAAAAATTTAATTAGAAAGATATTTGTAATATTTTTGCCTAATTTGTTGTTGTAATTTTTACTCACCTGAGGCGTTTATTACAGTTTTTAATTATTTCGGCATAGCGGGAATTTTAAAGAATCTTGCACGCCTTCACATTTAGTATAGAATAATATAAATGAAGGTATAAGTGAATACATAAGTATGGATAATCTATACAAAAATGTATGTCTCATGAATTAGCTGATTAAAATTTTTTAACTTAATATTCTAAAACACACAACACATTAGTTTTAAAATGTATATATAACATTAGGATGAATGACGTCCTCAGGGACATCAAGATTGATCCGATTAAAAAATACATAAAGGATAGAGCCCTAAATTATTTGCGAAATCTGACAGACTTACCAACACCGCGTTATCAAATCTCAGAATGGTTACAGGGTCCTCGGGGAGGTGTGCAGATCTAAGGTCGGTTATTGCATAGTCTGATGAAGTGATAAACAATAATCCAGTCAAGGCGCAAAGAGGGGTTTTGAAGAAACCTCGCAGTTATAAGAGAGTAAAAGTGCTCAGGTGCACTGACTCAACTAGCCTCAACATAATAACAATTAAATATGTTTAAATATAGCTAAATTTATTAGAATTCATTAATTAAGTGAATGCATAAAAGTGGTGAATTAAATTCAACTGTTTTACTAATAATATTATATACTTAAATTTAAATAGTAGAGTTGTGTCGTATAGGATACTAATATTTTAGAATATTTCTCTTCGTTCGTAATAACTCTGCTTTGAATCAATCAGATGTTATTATTTTTAAAATTTTGAAAATACAACAGTAAAAGATTTACTTCATACGTATAATTGCTTATAGGTCCCTTCACAATAAACTCTTATTTTGAACAAGCACTGAGGTTTTTGGATTATAGGACAAAAAAAAACTAATAGAAACTTCGACTGCTTAATCTGGATTCAATCTAGATTTACCAGATTTTCTAGATTTTCAATCTAGATCTGTCAAATTTTGTTACCCAAATATCATTTTTGTTGTAGCGTTATTAGACATTTATACCTTTCATAAATACATATATAAAACTAAATTAAACTTATCTATCTTCCTACTCTGGTAAAATATCTAAACTGTAATAAATTAAACTCGAGTATTATACATTTTGTCCCATATTTACCAATTCAAAATAAACTCACACTAAAAGTATATTAAAAGATCATCTCCATTGAACAAATTATCCCAGTTTTACCAATTGAGGAACTCAGCCAATTTTACCAATTGAGGAACTCAGCCATAAGGAACTCAGTCAGTGAAATAGATTAGCCTAGACTCATATTTCTTAATTTCCTTGATGAGTCCAGAAGGTATAGAAAAAGTTTAAAGACGATGCATGATTAAGCTAACATAACTCAACATTCTAAATTCAATCGCAAATGTTGGGCAATTACAGGCGAGGTGCTCAGCGTTGTTTATATCATCGATTAGTTTAAACAGCTCTTATTCATAAATGAGGGGTATGAAGTACTCATAGGATAGCAAGAAATCTGAAGCAAGCTTTCAATGCTGCTTAATAACTTAGTATGTTTATTATTTATGCCAAATACAGTTGTTTTAATGGAGCTACATATATTTTCGTATTGACCTTATTTAATACAACGCGAATCCTTCTGGAGTTTTTCACAATATATATAAATATAAATTTAGAGTTTTTTAAAAGTTCTTCATTTCAGAATTTGCGTTTTTTTCAGTTTAAGAATATCAAGTTATTATAATTGACCATTATTAACTTTGATTCCTTATATAGAAATTCAGAAGGTATGTTTTTAAAAAATCTTTATTGTATATAGTTCTTCCAAATAGTTGTAAAAATAAAATATAAGATTGTCATATAATCGCTTGGACCGCCAAATTGTTTTAGATGTATAATTGATAAGATATTGATAACACAGTATAAGTATATATCATTATCGATAATATTATTGCTAGCGCCTTGATCTGTGACTTTCATATCCATTTGAACGGTGAGTTGTAGGTGTCAACCAATCCGATGGTAAACATTTTTTGAGTAGCGGTGCATTCGAGAAAAAGCGTGCTAAACGATTGATCCAAGATGGTATATCTATGCCACATAATACATTTGTTAATGCATTTGAGAAATGGTTGCAGTTATTTTGTATTAAATGGTAACGACTTCCAGAAAAAGTAGTTCCCATTGCATCTATTAACTCTTCTACATTATGGTCCGATAAAGATGTTGCACCGATGCGCATACTTTGGCGTAGTCGCACATTTGTACCTAATGCTCTTTCGTTACGTGGAGGGATTATAAAAATACCACTTGCTTTGCAACAATGACCACCAAAACAATACTCTTTACCATAGACCTCAACACCTGTATGGTAAATGCCAAATCCCAATATATTAGTGTATCCATTAATCCAGTTCAGATCATAAATATTTAAAAATACAGGCTCTTGGGTGGAAGTTTTTTGTTTGTTAGTTTGCATAACGTTCTGGAATAGAGAAAATGTCATAGCTAAGGTAATGGTAATGAAAAATCTGGAAATTTTTCAATTTACCTTGTCAATTACAAGAATTTGCTAATGCTACAATTCTATATTTATATACAATATTAGCTAAAAAATATAGTATGAAGCGCTTATTGTATTTTAAATTATTTTCTATTGACAGCTTTTAAAGCTTATTTTATTTTCAATATTTTGACAGCTTTGTGTATGTATATATTTGTTTTTAAATTTGAACCAAGGTTTTCAATTGTCAATTCGTTTAATATTTATACTCAAAATGATAGTGATGATCATTCTTAGCACAACAGTTCGGAGTGGATTAATGTTTTCTCAATTATATTTTCTCTGCAGCCGGAACCGCTTAGTTCAACCATCTAAAACGATGGGATTTCATGTATCTCATATCTCAAGCATTTTCAATGTTAGGAATATGGCTATAGAGACATGTATATTTCGCAAAATCTTACGTTCCCTTATGAGTAGTTCTGCTATGTCAACATTTTTAAAAGTTCAGATATTAATTCCATACGTTAGAATGGCTCTAATTAACATTTGTGCATTATAACCGAACAAAATTTTGGATTGAAAAAGGTTTACGTATGAAGTAGGTCCTATTATTTGCCTGTATTTGCCCTTGGGTTGCTATTGATGTGCATTTCATAGCGGTAGTCACTACTGCAAAGTATGCAAATCTCATTATTTTGAATAAACGAATTTTGAGTCTATACATTTCTTGAACGCTATAGTTGGAATAAGTTGTTTTTAGTCCCACCTGAAACGATGAGTTTCATGAGGATAGCGCATTGCTTTATTTCTGAGATAACATCCAAAGGGTTAGCCAATTCACTTGTTAGAGTATTTATTGTGGTTATTTTCCCATTAATCTTACTTGCTTCTTACGAATGTCATTTTTTTATCAGAGTAGAAATGAAACCTTTATGGAATTTCAGAAAAATGTTGACTAGTTGTTATCAATAATTTTTCTTGTAACAAGTTTAGATACTTGTAGAGTATGTTTGTGACGGCTCTTATATTATACGTTAAGCTACGGTGTACAAATGTTACTCTTCCAGCTCTCAGTTACATTCTTTTCAATCCTAGTATCTACATAACATTATTTTTAATTGTACCAAATAATTTTTTATTTCAAGGCACTATATAAATACTCAGTTATGTACAAAAATCTTTATTACAAAATATTCTTTAAGAGTATTTATGAAATAAAATGCCATATCGACAAGTAGTTTATTTAAATTGTATACACTTAAAAAATAGATTGTAATGAATCGATTGTTTTGATCACCTATTTGATATTCCAGAACTAAACTATACCCAAAAATATGTTGACAGCAGAATAGATGATATTATGGATAACATTATTGTTGAGGTCCTGGTGTGTGATTTTCAGAACCTTCTTGTTCACCTGGTCGTTGATCATGTGGTGTTAGCCAGTCTGGTGGTATGCACTTTTGCAGAAACGGAGCATTCGATATAAAGCGAGCTAAACGATTGACCCATGCTGGTATGTCTACGCCACACAACAGTTTTGTGAAGGCACCAGAGAAATGATTACAGTTATTTTGTATCAAATGGTACCGGTTTCCAGTAAATATAGTTCCCATTGCATGTATCAATTCCTTTACACTTTGCTCTGACAAAGCAGTTGTACCGATTCGGATACTTTGTCGTAGTCGCACGTTTGCACCCAATACTCCTTCGTTACGTGGAGGAACTTCAAAAATACCGCTGGACTCCCAACGATGACCACCAAAACAGTATTCTACACCATAAACCTCAACACCAGTATGGTAAATACCGAATCCAAATGTATTAGTGTATCCATTAATCCAGTTTAGATCATAAATATTTAAGATCACTGCTTCGTGGATGGAAACCATTTGTTTGCGAATTGCAGTTTTCATAATGACCTGCAATAGAAAAAATATTTGCAGGTTTTACCGATCTTATATTGTAAAAAATAGGAAACTTTTCAACTTAACTTCGTTAATCACACGAGTTCGTAAACGCTGTAATAAATGCCTAAAAAATATATTAAGAAGTGATTTTTTTATTTTGAAAACTCTGCTCCAATTTAGTTTTATGATTTAATAAAATTTTAAACATTTTGATGACTACATATCTTTTTTAAATTAATTACAATTCTTTATGAAAAAATATAAAAATTTATGTGACGTTTAGGTTTCAATGCTTACCTCTTTTTTGTTTTTATCAACAAAAATTTTTCTTTCTCCTAAAATTGAAAAATATTTGGGTAAATCTCTTGTGAAATATGCGAACGATTTGGTACGGGCAATAATTTTGACGGCTTTAGTGCATCCAAATGCACCACCGCTAATTAAATAGTTTTGTACAGTATTTTATATATATAAATCGATAACTGAAACTAACAATTTTATGAGGCAATTTCTAAAGTTATACCGAAAAATGTGAAAATTAAAATAATAAAAATAAAATTATATCAATGAGAATATATCATAAAACTTTTATATATTTGACGTTAGCATATTTCAATAAATCAGATATCTACGTTTGTTTATTTTACTGGTCAAATATTGTGCAACTGCCTTTACTCGAATCGTAGAAATACTTGACCCGGTCAAAAAACACATAAAAGAGTGAGCATTGAAGTTTTACGTGAAAACTGACAGGCTGTCTTATATACCACTATCTAATCTGAGAGCAGTCACTAGCCGTACGGGACGGTATGCAGATCTTAAATCAGTCATCGAATAAATCAGCGAAGCTTATGAGGAATATATAAATTAGTCAAAGAGAAGGAGGGGGCTCTTTAGAAATTCCCCAACTAAAAAAGAGTAAAAGTGCTCAATTACACTCATTCGGAAAAACCTCAACATAACACTATCATTTGTCACTAGCTTAAGTGAAGAGTAGGAATCCAAGGTATACGACTAGTTCCACAACGTATTCCGTAAATAGGGCTATAAAATAAACGTGCGTAAATTTTTCTAATGAACACTTGTCTTCTGTGGAAAATTTTCCAAAAAAAAAGTTCTACATTTTATTTTTTTCATTATATGGAACAGCTTCTTTTGACCGGATACCACTCTAGAAGGACCAAAATGTGACTGATGAGTTTTTAATACTTGTCTTTTGGCCTTCTTTTTTTGTAACAATAAAAAAACAATTAATTTTTGGCCGGATTACTCTCCTAAATGGCCAAAATTTGACTGATAAGTTTTTAACACAATTTTAATTCTTTTAGCCAGATATTTGGGGAATTGATAAAAAGCTGACTTCACAACAGTGGCAACACCAAAACAATATATACAAATCATATTTTGTATATCTGACAAGTTTTAACTGATAAATGTAAAAGTTTCGACTTTAACAGATAATTGGGTTTTAGCTTGGTTCCATTACTTCACACCTGAGAGAATACAACAAGCCATAGAATGGGTAGAGCCCGGGGAAGTGCTCCCAAATGACCACAAACTCAACAATTAGCTGGAAAAGTTTTGGCTTTCGTATTTCGAAATTCAAGTGAAATAATTTTCATAGACTATTTCAAAAAAGGATAAATAATAACATCAGACTACTATTGCATATTGTTGAATCGATTGCATGAAGAAATCGAAAAAAAACGATCACATTAATCGAAGAAAACTAGTTTGTTTTTGTAGGATAATGCAATCACTCATACGTCAATGAAAACAATGGGAAAATGATGTAAATTACAGTACGAATTGCTTCCTCATTCACTGTATTCTCCAGATTGGAAAAGCCGGCTGAAGGGAAAAAGATTTGCAACTAATGACGGAGTGAAAGGGGAAACTGAGGTATATTTTGGAGAACTTGATAAATTCTATTATTTAAAAGATATCTAAATATCTTGAACTGTTTTGAAGTATAAAATATAATTTTCCAAAAAACTACTTAGACCGGGCATTTATCAAGTACCTAGTACTCTCTGAAATAAGAAAAGCTGACTGCCAATGACTGAGCCTCTTCGCTTGAGAGGGTTCACACTGTAGCTATTTTGTGACGGTATTGAACAAACCTCTACATCTATTACATATATATGTAATTGTGGTATATAATTATTCTTTAATATATGGAGTAAATTTTTTTTTTGTTGATTTTTAGATTTTTGATAATATGTTTTATATGTGTGTTCCCTTTCCTTTTTTTATAATTCTCTTAATCAACTATATTAGTTAATAATTATGTTAAAATACCATTATAGAAGTAGCGTGTTGGTTTTGAATTTAAATGTTTACCTTTGGAGTAACAAAATCTAAGTTAATTAATTGTTATTTTTTCTACTAAAATAACATCTACTATCTACTATCTATCTGCTAAAACTAAAAATTGTTTTTTTTTTGTTTTGTGAAGTTAAATTCCACAGAAGATATATTAATGGTAGGTCTTTTATACGCCTAGGGGGTGTACATTTTTTTGAGCTTCCGAAAAAGCACATTTGTTTGGGGCTTGAAGTGAAAACCAGTCAGTTTGTGAACAGACTGCGCTCTTCATTAGTTAAGAAGTTCAAAGAATCAAGGTGTCTTTAAATGTCTTTAGGTGCCTTAAGGTGACTTTTTGTTAAATTAATTCGAGTGTATGATTTAAATTACAGAATATGAGACACACATGTAAGGGATACATACGTTGGATTGGTCTCGTTGACAGGAGGAAGATGCTTCATTCACTGCAACCGCCGCGCACATATATCATTTTAAAAAGTTAATTAAGAGCAACCATAAATGTATTAATGATATTAGCCCATTAGCAAGCTATTATTAAATAATTATTTTTTATATTTATTTTTTTCAAACTTTAATTTTTTCCAATTTCGTTTCGTGCATTAATTTATTTGGATAATATTTTTTTTTAAATATATGTTTAGTAACGAAAATGGTCGAAAATTCCGAGGAAGTATTCCATAATTCGTAATTTATATTTCTTTTTCAATTTAACTTAGCCTGAGTTGAGTATGAAATTTATGTTGACTTTTATTGTGGATTTAAATAAATAAATTCCTTCGGTTCGCATCTTGTGTACGCAAATGAACTTTCATAATTAATGTAAATCCGGTGCATAATACTTATATTTTATCAAGTGTCTGCTTATTGTTTGACTTCAGTGTTAAGCTTATTTTATGACTTAATATTATTAACAATATCTGTATATCTGTATATCTGTTTGCTTTTGAAATCTACGAAGCCCAAATATAAAATAAAATCATGGAAATATTTTCAGAAAAAAACCAAAAATTCTGTAAGAAAAATTAAAAGTATTTTTCAGTTTAAACAAATGCTTAAGTGTGAGCTGAGTTATAAATAAGATGTTTTCATTGTTCAATATTTACCCATAAACATTTTCGGTTGTTTAAGATTTTGCGTATTTATTCAAGCACTTACAATACCATGAACTCGTATGTAGGAGAGTGTACTCTTCAAAAAGGAATTATGCATATTTATTGATTGGACGTCTTACTTCTTTCTGTTCATAGAATATTTGAGATCAGATAAATTTTGCCCGTCCATCCGTCTGCATTTGTGTATGTAAATTTGCATGTAAGTTACTGTAAAAATTGTTGTTATATTTTCATCCTTGCAGTGAAAGCCATAAGCTTTCACGTGACAGTTGCTGTCTTCAATTGCATTGTTTGTTAAAATTGATGATGCCTTGAGCATCGTGTTTTCAGCGTTATTTTTATTAATAAATATTTTTTTCGTAAAATAAAAATGTATAAAATGTACAAAAGTCATTCATCATGAATCACCCAAAATAAAGAAACCAGAATAAATATTTTTTAACATCAATCAATATTTGAAATTTAATATAATTCAAAAAATATGCACTACTTTCATATTTACTTACCATCATTCACTAAGTAAAAATATTTTATTCTTTTATTCTTTATTCTTATTCTTTTTAGTGAAAAAAAAAAAAAAAATCTAAGTAAAAATATTTAGTTTCAATTTTTATAGATATTGGAATATAAATAATTTTGCTCCGAAAACAATTTTAATTGCCACCATTTCCTTATATAAGTTTTTCAACAATAAAGTCTTACAAATAACGAAATAAAAAATAATGAAACTTAACGTCCTTAAAAAGGTTCAAATCACTGCTCCATATATTATATAACTCGAACTATTCGTAACTTCAAAATTTCCTAGTCTTTTTGTGGACCTTTATAAAAATAAAGGAGAACCAGAATAAAAAGTATTACTGAGATAAACTACCAGGATTAAAACAATCCAAATCACTCATTGGTACCTATAACAGTAAGAGATATCAGGATTGTAAGAACCTATCAAATAAAAAACTTTCAGAACACTATGAAGTGAAACAGAAGCTTACAAGAGTGGGTATACTAACGGATGCAAACTGTAGATTCTGTGAAGAGAGTGAGGAGTCGGCCACACATGTGCTGTTAGAATGCCCTGCGCTAATGCACATACGGAATAGGTTCCTGTATATTCTTACGGAAGAGACAATAAGACACAATAAAGTAGGTTCTATACTACTTTTTTATTAACGCTACAGTACTTAGAGACATATTTTAAACCTAGAAGGGAACACAATAGACAAGACGGTCGCAGTGTCAAATCCCCTAACTATAATAATAATGTATTGAACTCAAGGCGTTAGCAGAGCGAGCCTTTCGAATATGTTCGAACACCATATGAAGTTCGAGTATTTGCTGTGTATTTGTATGAAATAAAACTAAAATAAAATACTATATAAATCTATAAATACTACAAATATACTATGCTGTAAATGCTATACATAGACCTTTGAATAGATCGAATAACTTCGATTGGCTTGAACAGCTTCGAACGTTTGAAGTGAAGTGTTGGAGTATCTGGCATACTTGAACTGTTCGAGCAATTCAAAGCTTGTAGACTATAAAACACAGTTTAAGTCTTAATGTATAGTTGTGTTGTTTTATTAAAGCAGTAAAATCCATATATATATCCATATACACATCCATATATATATCCATATATATATCCATATATATATTCATATATATATCCATATATATATCCATATATATATCCATATATATATCCATATATATATCCATATATATATCCATATATATATTACAGATATGTGTCGTCGTTGGCCGCTTCAAGTAGCCTTCGCCCGCCAGCCCGATGAGTTGCTTACCGAACGCCCCCAAATCGTTGGTCATCTGGTCCTTCCACCGAAGATGCAGACGTCTTCTACCGCGTTTTGTACCTGCGGGTACCGTATCAAACAGCTTTCTAGCCGGAGCAATTTCTTCCATTCGCACGACATGACTAATGACTAAAGGGACCATAGATCACCTTAAAGAAAGTAACCGTTCAATTAGTCTTTTAAACAAATTAAAGAGGTTTCGTAATAAAAGTAATGTAGATTACTAGATTATCCCAGTGTCGACCAAATGAGGTGCACATAAAGAAAAATATTTTAAATTCACAATTTTTAT